CCACGTTTCCTGCCTCCGGGCGAGGGAGGGAGGTGACGAGCGTGTCTGACGGCCGTTTCCTGCTGGGGCCAGGGCATTATTAATACGATTTCCCCCCTCCGGCCGCCACCGCCGAGCCACCGCCGCCACCAGGACTCGCAAACAAACAGGCGGCCACAGGAAGCCCGAGGCCGGGGGCTCGGAGGCAGGAAGGGCCGGCCCGGCAGGGGAGCCGCGGAAGACTCGGGGACACGCACGGGCACGCGGGCGCGCACGCACTGCGACAAGGCAGGCGCGGGCACAGTGCCAACTCCAAGGGGCGCTTCCTTTCGGTGTGACTCTATGAGCCTCAGTTTCCTCATACTCTTGGTAGAAGTATTGAAAGATTCACCACCATCATCAACAAAGGACAGTAACAAAGCCAGCCGCGAAGTCCAATTCCCACTCTTAGTGACTCTGTAAGATAAAGTAGAACTGTCCCAGAGGGTTTCATCTAAATGGAAGCAGACTGCCACATCTTTTTCCCTCGGAGCTACTGGTGAGTTTGAACCGCCAACTTTTCAGCTAACCACTACACCACCAAGACTCCTTGTATTGTAACAAAACCAGTTCTTGCTTACTGAATCCTTCCATTAGACCACACCTTTGCCAAATCAAGCATCGTACACGCTTGTTCTATAAGTAAGACTTAGAACAAAAATTGCCCTGTGCTTATAAGGAGCTCTGGTAGCGTAGTGGTTACGAATCGGGCTGCTAATTGCAAGGTCAGCAGTTCAAAACTACCAGCTGTTCCGCGGGAGAAAGATGAGGCTTAAACCCTGTACAGGGTCACTATGAGTCGGAACTGACACAGCTTACAGAGTCCTGGTGTGGCGCTGTGGGTTAACTGCAAGGTCGGCCGTTCAAGCTCACCAACTGCTCCTTGGAAACCCTATACAGGGTCGCTATGGGTCAGAACTGACTCGACAGCACTTAACAGCAATGCAGTTTACAGTGGTTGCTCCACTCCTAAAGGAAAGGTTGGAGATTCAAGTCCACCCAGAGGGGCCTTGGAAGGAAAACCTGGTGATCTACTGAAAAAATTCAGCCATTGAAAATCCTACAGCACACAGTACTACTCTGACACACATAGGGTCACTTACCAACACTGTTCCGAGAGTGGCACATATGGATTTATTTAATGCCTTCCACAATGCTCTGAGGGACTGTTGTCATCTGAGATACCCCAAAATTGAGTAGCTTCTGGTGGTCCAGTGGTTAAGCACTCAGCTGTTAAGCAGAAAGTCAGCATTCAAACATACCAGCTGTTCCTGGGGAGAAAACAGGGGGCCGTCCTTAAAGATTACAGTCTTGGAACCACTATGGACAGTTTTATGTCTTGGAGGGTCACTAGGAGCGTCTATGGTAATGGATTCGGCTTTATGGGTTTTTACCCTAATGTCATAGCTAGCAAGTGGCAATGTTGGGACTTGAACGCTGGAAGCAGGTTGGCTGTAAAGCTGGTGTGGGTGGTGACTACCCATATAACTATGGGTGCTGGTAGCCATGCTAATGACAGGCAGACCTTGGAAATATTGCTGGCTTGGTTCCAGACCATTGAAATAAAACAAATCTTATAAAAAAGAGGGCCACATGAATTTTTTGGTCCCCCCAAAATGCACGTGACTCTCTTTATTGTGAGACTCTGGAGTCTGAAGGTCTGGTATGGCACTGCAGGATAAGCACTGGGCCACAAGGTCAGTTTGAACGGCAAGGTTGGCAGTTCAAACTCACCAGCCTCTTCTCAGAAACCCTATACTGGCTGGGTCTCTATGAGTTGAAACCAACTCAACAGCATTAACAACAGTACATATAAAAGTTATGTTTACACTAGACTATTATCTGTTAGAGGAGCTCTGGTAGCGTAGTGGTTATGAATCTGGCAACTAACCTCAAGGTCAGCAGTTCGAAACTACCAGCCGCTCCGCAGGAGAAAGATGAGGCTTTCTGCTCCCATAAAGATATACAGCCTCAGAAACCCTATGTAGGGTCGCTGTGAGTCAGAATCAACTGCACTGCATGGCACATAACCACCACCACCACATTCTCTATTAGGGGAGTGCGGTGTCTCTAGAGGATAAGCACTGGACTGTGAACCACAAGGTCAGTGGTTCAAGCCCACCAACCACTCTGCAGAAGTAAAAAAGAGACTTTCTGCTCCTGCACAACTTTACAGCCTCAAAAACCCTATAGGGTTCACTATGAGTTGTGATGGGACTTGACAATAGCAAATTGTCTACTCAGCGTGCAATAGAATTATTTAAAACTTTGAAATCTCGTGAGAATTACCAAAATGTGACACAGGGACACAAAGTGAGCACATAAAAATGATGACAATAGTCTTGTTCAATGGAGGGCTGTTATCAACTGCCAGTACATTAAAGAAAAACAAGACATACCTGTGAAGTACAATAAAATGGGATCTCTTGTACCCAGAGAGACAAAACTGGGATGAGGCATGGCCCAGGTTTAGGTTCTAGAAGGTAGGGCTTAGCTGAGAATGAAGGTTCTAGAACTGATTCAGGATGGATGGCACTGGTTCTGGGCTCATCTTCTTGGTAGGTACATGGTCCTAGTGTCACATGGGAACAGAGGTGCCAGCATTCTGGCCAGTTGGGGTTTCTGAACTTGAATCTTAGGCCAAGAACCTGAAACTAGGGTTGAGAGTTTTCAAGCTGAGCTGAGAGGAGCGATTCCAAAATTGAGTTTGGGAGCCATGTTTTGGAGCTGGGTGGAGGTAGAAGATTCTTGAGCCCCATTTTGGATGACTGTTTAGGAGCTTCAGTGGTGGTAAACTGACAGTGTGAAAATATGGGTGAACACTTCTAGATTTGAGTGATAATTGTCATGAAAACTAAAGGTTTGTTGTAGAGTCCGGAGAGCCATGGTGGCACTGTGGACTAAGCACTGGGGTGCCAACTTCAAGATTTGATGTTCAAACCCACCAGTTGCTCTGCAGGAAAAAGATGAGACTGTCTCTGCTCCCATAAAGGTTTACAGTCTCAGAGACCCTAAGGAATGGTTCTACTCTGTCTGATGGGGTTGCTATGAGTTGGAACAGACTCGATGGCAGTGGAAAGAGTCCAAAACTTTCATTGGTATGAGGGGACCAAATGAAAATTTCAGGGAAGCTATTTGAGCTCAGTTGGTGTGAAGATCGAAAGTTATCAAGAGCTGAGACAGAAATGAAGCTGAAGATTCCAGTGCTGGGTTTGGAGGTGAGGGTTCTGGAATCGAGATTGTGAATGTGAGGATTTGTAAAGAGTTGCTTGGAGGCCACAGGGATCCAGAGAGGGCCTGGTGTGAGGGGAGGGATGTGGAGGGGGCTGGTGCAAGGGTGAGGGGGCTGAAGGGGGCTGCTGGTATGGGGAGGAGGCTGGTGCTAGAGTCTGGCAGGGACCAAAGATCCTCAGCGCTAAGCCTGGGATTGAAGGTTCTGGAGGATTGTGGTTGAGGCCTGGCACTCTCTGGACAGGGAGATGGGTGGGGTTCACAGCTTTCCTGAGCGTGTATCTGGCTCTGAGAACTCAGGCACCTGTTCATTCCTCTGTCCGCAGGCGGAAGCATGTGGCTGCCCTCCTGGACATCCGGGGCCTTCGAAATGCCTCTGCTCGCCACGAGATCCTGGCAGTGGCCAGGGACCTGGAGCTGTCGGACCCGGGTGCCTTGGCAACTTCTAGGGATCGGGCCTTCTTTGCAGACATCCCAGTACCCCGACCGCCTTTCTGCCTGGGCCTTCCAATTCTCCTGGGCCGCCTCCCTGTCTCCCGGCTCACCAGGCCCGGGCTGACCTGTCTGCCCCTGCCTCGAAGAGCGGCTCCGCCCAGACCCCGAGCCCAGCTCTGAGACTCCCCCAGGCCCCTTCCACCTCAGTGTTCCCCATCTTTGCTGCTGACAAACCTTCCTTCTGGGTGCCCCACTTCTGACTTCTCTCTGGCACCACAGGTCCCTGGAATGGAAAGATTCTTTGGGGTCTTCTCACCCACCCCCAAACTCAGAAGGGAAACTGAGGCCAGCGGGAACAAGGACTTGCCCAAGGCCACATAGCCCAGCATTCCCAGCGCCCCTCTCCCCTGAGCCCAGTAGGGTGGGGTGATATCTGGAAGGTTCCACAGAAATATCCCAGCCCCTCCTCCCCCTCCCCTCAAGGTCTGGCCCCAATCCAATGTATTAAGGAATGTATGATACTTAGAATAAAGCGGTTTCTATTTAACACAAGGAAGGGCTGAGTCCTGAGTGTGTGGGGGGGGGAGGAAGGGGGGGCAGAGCTAAGTGCTTCTCAAGGTCGGGCCAGAGGCCAACTCTTGGGGACTGAGGCAGTCGCTGCTGGGGCCAGGAGGCTAGGCACCCCCATTTGCACCACATCCTCAGGCTGTGTGACTCTGTGGCTGGGCCCTGGCTCCTCTGAGCAACCCCATCTTGGCAACCCCAAAGTGCCTCTCAGTCTTTTCCGGGCTTGGCGGCTCTGCCTTGGCCCGCCCTGCCATCCATCCTCAGCCGGGAAGCCGTGTCAAGGGAGGAAGGAGGTGGGGGGCAGGGCGGCGGCATCCAGGGCACCCTCCTGGGTTGACGCAGGGAAGTCGCAGGGTGGGAAAAAGCCCAGTTTCTCACCCCCAGCCCCGCGGGATCCTGGTCCCCACGGAGATGTTGAGGTCACCTCCCTGTTGACCCCTGCCCCTCCGGCCTTCTGGGCTGGGCATTGACGGATGCTTCCTGGAGTGTTTTTTTTTTTTTTTTTCTTTCTGAGAAGTCGGAAGGAGGAGGCAGCCAGGGGTCAGGGTTGTGGCTGGGGTTGGAACCTCACAGGTCGTTTGAACTCGGGAAGGTGGGGATAAGGGACTGATCTGAGCAGGAAGTTGGCTTTCTCTGGGGAACTGTTTAATGACCCTTTGCACAGGCGGAGGAGGGAAGACAAGAAGTACAGAGACCATGCCCTCATCATTGCTGCTGTTAGCCGCGCGGAAGTGATAGCCACACTCATGGTGATCCCGTGCACCAGAGAACTAAACGCTGGCTGTCTTTCCTTGTTCCCAAAGGGCTCTCGGCTAATTTTTAGAAGTAGATCACCGGACCTTTCTTCCTAGTTTGCATTACTCAGGCAGCTCCTCTGAAGCCTGTTTGGCATCATAGCAACACACAAGCCTCCCCTGAAAGATGGGTGGTGGCTGCACAGGAAGTGCCTTAGCCGGTGATTGAACCCAGGTCTCCAGCATGGAAGAGGAAAATTCTACCACTGAGCTACTCTAAAATGACTCCCACAGGCATTCAATGCCATTGATATCTAAGAAGGCGTTGAGGAATCATGTTGCAATTTGTAGACATCTTGTTCCACTTGAATGAACCTCAGTTGGACAGTGTTCTGTTCAGAAGTGATGTCCTCATCTTTTTACCATTAAATTTACCACTTTAACTGTTTTTAAGTGTACGATCCAGTGGCACTAACTATAGTCACAATGGTCAACCATTTGGGGTTTGATCGCCCCAAAGAGAAATTCTGTATCCATTACCTGGTGACTTTCCACTCCCCCCACCGCCACTGCTAATCTCCTTTCTATGAATTTGTCTATTCGAGATACCCCATGGAGTCCTGGTGTGACATTGTAGGATAAGCACTGTATAACTAACCACAAGGTTGGCGGTTCAAATCCAGATGCTCTTTGGAAACCCTATACATGGTTGCTGAGTCAGAACTGACTCACTCAACCACACTTAACAACAGCAATAGAAACCTCACACAATCCTTGTCCTTTTTTGTCTTTATTCCTTCATTGTACATACGTATGCATCACATTTTATCTGTTTACCTGCCGATGGGCATTTGGATTTTCAAGGTTCATCTATATCCTAACATATATCAGAATTTAATTTCTCTTTATGGCTGAATAATAGTCTATTGTATGTGTAAGACCATGTTTTCTTTCTTCATTCATCTGCTGGTGGACACTTGGGCTGTTTCTACTTTGGGGCTATTGTGAAATATGCTGTGATGAACATTGGTGGACTACTCTCTGATTGAGCACCTCCTTTCAAATGTTTGGGGTATATAAGAGTGGAATTACTGGGTGATGTGGTAATCCTATGCTTACTTTTTTTTGAGAAACAACCACACTGTTTTCTACAGCTGTTGCCCTTATTTTTAAAAAGCTTATTGTGGTATATTTCATATATACTACAATTCACCCATTTAATGTGTACAGTTCAATCGGCTCCTGTTGCATACACAATCTTAGGCACCATCATTACAGTAAATTTCAGAGCATTTGTGTTACCCCAGAAAGAATCTCTGCATCCTTTATCCCTCACTCTGCAAACTTGATACTTTTCAAAGTAAGTTACAGACATCGGAACATTTTCCTGAAATAATTCACCCTGCGTATTACTAACTGGTGAGTGTGGTGGCTTCATAGGCTAAGCACTGGATTACGAACCACAATGTCAATGATTTGAACCCACCAGCTGTTCAGCGGGAAAGAGATGAGGCTTTCTGCTCCTGCAAAGATTTTTAAAAGCCTTTCAAACCCAATTCACAGCAACAGGGTTTCTAAGGAGCAGCTGGTGAGTTTGAACCAACCACCCAGAGACTCAAACCAACCTTATGGTCTGTGCATTACCCTGCAGCGCCACACCCTGCCTCCCAAATCCAAGATAGAAAGGAATCCACCCACGGATTCTTAGAGGCCTTTTATGTTTCCTTTTTTACATAGGAATTTCTGGTTCATTTGATTTGTTGGTGCATGGTGTGAGGACTGACTATAACTGGATATGGGGGAGGGAGTCACTTATTTTTAAATTACTTTTATTGAGAAAAAATTCACATATCTTTACGTTCCCCTTTAAAACTGTAGAAAGCAATGCCTTTTGGAATAATCACAACATCGTGTATCCATCACTGCTAAAATGATACTGTTTATTTGTCCTCCAAATGGCTGTGTCCTTGTCTTGGTATTTATATATTAAAAACCCTGACCTTTCTGCCAGAGGCCTTAACACTAAATATAAGTTTAGGTGTCCAATTCTATTCTTTTGGTCTGCCTGCCCATTTACTCCAAGGTATAGGGCATCTTTTGATTACATTGCCAACATCCAGGGTCCACAAATCTGGAAAGGAGTGGGCAGATAAGTTGCCATGCCTGCCTCAACCTTTTCCCAAAGCCCTTAAACTTTGGGCATTATAAGAAGATACCAACAGAGACATCAGCTTGACTCCCCAGGAACTGCAAACAAGCCAAGTGGGTTGCAAAAACAGCAGACAACCCTAAAAAAGAGACGTGCAAGCCCTCCTTTTAGCCATCTCAACCTTCCCCCTTTGTCCCCAACCCAAAGTGGCGGTCTCTCTACCCAACTAAGGGTCAGTGGGCAAAGAGCAGGAACTGTCCTCCACAGCCTTCTGCCCACGCTGGCCCCAGTGTAGGCACCTGTATCCCGTGATTGAGGCATCCAGCAGTATGGGAGGAGAGGCCTATGGTGTGGACCGCTGGCTCAATCCAATCTTGGACATTCTTCACCAGCAATCCGGTTTTGGGGTTGTTGATAATATGTGTGGAGACAGCAGCAGGGCTAACCGTCTACAGGAAGGAGGGAGGTAAAGGAAGGAAGGACTCCCCGCCAAGCCTGAGCTCACACCACACCCCCACCCCCACTCCCGGAATCCCACCTACTCGCTGCCATCCATCCCAGTGTCTCTGAGCGTCTGCCCTTGAGGCCCCGCCCCCGTCTCTTAGGACCACGCCCCCTGAGCGCTTCCCCATTAAAACTCTTTCAAGTCCCCGCCTTCTAGAAAACCCCGCCTCTATCTCTTAAACTCCGAAGCCCCTCAGGTCCTCTCCTTTCTGAACGCCACCACCACTGAGTCCAGCACCTGTACTGTGATTCCTTCAGGGAAGTACTCGGCGGCCACTGCCAGAGAGAAGCTCTTCACAAAGGCCTGTGGAGGAAGAGAGGAAGGGTCCCAGAACGCAGAGACACCCCATGCTGAGCCCTGAGCCCCAGGAACTACCCCACCCGATCCCCTTCCTATTCTAGAACACCCCAGGTTCCAGAAAATCCCCAGACTCCATCCCTTTATACCTGAATGCCTTCACTAGTCTAAGTCTTAACTGGTCTAAACCTTCCCTCTTCCACACACCCACTCCTTTCCAGTCTCCTAATTCACTGTCTTCCTTCCAATCTCCAGGTGTTTTTTAGTTCTTAGTTGTTCTCCAAACTCTCAGTCTCTGTTTCACTTACAATAAAAAGTTCTTGGCTTTCCTAGTGGACTTTCCTAGTGGACTATGCCCCAGATATCTGCCTGATCTATGAAGAGTCCCAGACCACGTAACCCCCTACTCAAAACCTAACCACTTGACTCAAGACTTTCCCATGATAACAACACCTTCAATGCCTATGTTGTTGTTAAGTGCCATCGAGTCGATTCCGACCCATAGCGACCCTGTATAGGGTTTCCAAGGAGCAGCTGGTGAGTTTGAACCGCCGACCTTGCAGTTCAAATGGCTTTGCAGTCTGGCGTATTAACCCACAGCGCCACACTACTATGGTGGTGGTGGTTATGTGCCATGGAGTCGGAACAGACCCATAGCAACCCTGTACAGAGTTTCCGAGGCTGTAAATCTTTACGGGAGCAGAAAGCCTCATCTTTCTCCAGCGGAACTGCTGGTAGTTTCGAACTGCTGGCCCTAAGGTTCGCAGCCTGATGCGTAACCACTACCCTACCAGAGCTCCTTCCACACCACTATGGAAGGTACTAATTAATGGAGAAATTCCAAGCAGGGCAGCAAGCGCAGTCCAGGCTTTGGGTGTGTGGGGTCTGGCTACCTTAGTGGCAGAATAGGCAGTGAAGAATGGGTTGGGGCGGCTTTCAGCCAAAGAAGACAGGTTGATGATGATGCCTCGGTGCCTGGAGGAGGAAGCTTTGGTTGGAAAGCAGCAACTGTCTTCGGGGAGGAAAGAGATCAACGGGTTTCCCCACACCTACCCCCACCTCTTAGCCAGAGCTCTAATCTGAGACACATCAGAGCGACAAGGGAGAGTTGAAAACATGGGTGGGGCAGCTGAAGAATGGAAAAAAGGTGGAGGCTGGAAGAGAAAGATGCTGGCTCGGCTCATACCTGGAAACCATTTGGGGCAGGACAATTCTTGTCATCTGGGGAGAAGAGCAGGAGGGAGCACGTGTTCCTCTTGCCAATCCTTTCACCTGCTCCCCCCTCCTCATCAGATTCACCTCATCTGTCTAGTGTTGGGGGTCCTGGGAGCCACCCTGCATGCTTAGGGTGATCTTAACCCCCGCCCTATCCCCCAACCCCCCACCCCCACCCAGCCTCACCTGAACCACCGACATCATGTTGCAGTTCATAATATCCGAAAGATTCTGGAGAAACACATGGACCAAATCATTCTCTCCCTTCACCACCCTTATCACGACACCCCCATTTTCTTATTTTCCTAGCTTACATTTTTGTACACGGAGCCTATTTTTTTTCTTTTTAATGATTTATTTTGTTGTTGTTAAGAATAAACTATACACAGCAAAACGCAATTCAACTGTTTCTGCCATTCAGTGACACTGACTACATTCTCCAAGTTGTGTAACCATTTTCATTCTCCTTTTCTGGGCTGTTCCTCCCCCACGACCGTAAACTCATTTTTTAAGAAATCCATTTTTTAAAAAGAATTTTAAAATCGAGTGTTATTATTTAATTCAATATACCCAACACCTTTATAAGGAGCTCTGGTAGAATTGTGGTTACGAATCCGGCTGCGAACCTTAAGATCAGCAGTTGGAAACTACCAGCTGTTCCCTGGGAGAAAGATGAGGCTTTCTCAGCCTCAAAACCCGGTACAGGGTTGCTGTGAGTCAGAGCCAACTCCACGGCACATCACCACCACCACCAGCAGCAATACCTTTAATATGATCATTTTCACATGTAATCAAACTTTTAAATGGCATATTTTAGTGTGTTTTTGGTAAAGGCTTACATGGCAAATTAGCTTCCCATTGAGAATTTCTATACAAATTGTTCAGTGATATTAGTTACATTTTTCACAACGTGGCTATAGTCTCTTTAATTGCCTTCTGGTTGTGCCATTTCCAGCGCTCTAGTTTCCCTGGCTCTTTATGATCTCATCTTTGTTTTAGAATAACTGTTTGCCTTTGGGTAGTACATCCTACAATTTAAATACACACATTAGCAACTCCACTTGTAGAAATCTGTTTCTTTCTAAGATTCACACATGTGGGAAATGACTATGTGCAAAGAGACTCCTTGCAACACTATTTGTTGTTGCTGTTGTGTGCCCAGTGAGTTAAACCTGATTCATACAACACTGTAGCATAAGGCAGAGTAGAACAGCCCCATATAGTTTCCAATGCTGTAATTAAAAAAAACAAAATAAAAAACGTTTGTGCTTGGGTGGAAGTTCACCGAGTAAACTAGTTTTTCATTCAACAATTCATACACGTTTTGATTCATGACATCAATTGCAATCCCTACAATGTAACGTCACTTCCTCCCTGTGTTTTCTGTCTCCATTAATCCTATCCCTTCCTACCTCCTGAACATAATGCAAATGCCGCCCTTTGAATGCATATGGTTGGTTGTTCTAGAAAGTACACACCTCCCTCCAGCTATTGTTCAGTTTACAGACCTGTACTGGTGTGGCACTGTGGATTAGTGCACTGAACTGCAAAACTGGCTTGAACTGCAAGATGGGCGGTTCAATCCTACCAGCCGCTCCTCGGAAACCCTACACAGGTTCAATTGGAACCCACTCAATGGCACTTAACAACAATTTTTTGTTGACAGTTGAGCCATGGGTGTGTGTGTTTAAACAGCTAAAGATCAGAGACATAGGACCAGAGGCTTAAAGGTTCCACCAGTCTCTATCAGACAGTGAGCTTGGCTTTTTGTCTTTTGCATTTTGTTCCACATTATTCTCCCACTCTATCCAGGACTTCCAACTATGACCTCTTTCAGAGTGGGTAGCAGTAATAGTCGGGCACCATCTAGCTTTTCAGGTTTCTTTGGGCTCATTCTCTCCATGCACCCCTGATTTTCTTCACTCTTCTTTGCTCTGGGTTGAGAGAAATTAATAGTTGGACCTTAAAGATTATAATCTTATGGAAGTAGCCTGCCACATCTTTCTCCTGGAGAGTGCCTGGTGGGTTTGAATCACTGGCCTTTCCATTTGCAGTCAAGTGCTTAACCACTGTGCCACCAGAGCTTGAGAGTAATTGGAAACAGCCTGAATGCTCATCAGTAGGAGAATGGGAAAATAAATATTGTGTAAGCAATGGACCCACATGGTTTTCATCGGCTAATTTGTCACCACAACAACGGAGTCGACCATACCAATAATTCCTACAATCTACTGTTCTGCATAAAGTCAAGTAGGAATCAATAGGCAACTGCCAACATCAATGGCATGGCTTGGGTGCAACAGATTAAAAGGCAAGCTGTAAAATAGTAGGTTGCTATGTGGGTACAAACGACACATATGTAATTCCATATCATTGTAGGATAAGTTTCAATTATGAGGTAGGTGATTCAAACTCACCAGCCACTCCTCAGAAACCGTATACAGGGTCTGTATGAGTCGGAACCGATTCAACAGCACTTAATAACAACAACAGAGATGGAATACTTACTACATTTTTAATTGGTGGTCACTTTTGGGGAATGGGATTTGAGGGTGAGGGGAGTTTATCACTGTTATGAATTAAACGGTTTCCATCCTTGCCCCTCCAAAAAATATGCATGCTGCCACCCCAACCCCTATAACTAAGGATATGATCCTATTCAGAAACAGGGTTTTGTTATATTAATTGCATGATGCCCAAATAGGGTGGGTTCTAAACCTAATCTCTTTTGAGTTATAAAAAGAGCAGACTAGACACAGATATAAGAACAGAGTGGCGGGGGCGGGGGTGGGGGGAGACAGACACCCTGTGAGGATCATTTATAAACAAACCAAGGAACCAAAGAAAGCCCAGGACCACCTTGTCATTGCTGTTTAAGTGCTATCGAGTCAGTTCTGACTCATAGTGACCCTGTTTAGGATTTCCCAGGACTGGCTGGTGGGTTTGGATCACCAATCTTGCGGTTAACAATTCAGTGCTTATCCTACAGGGTCATACAAGGACTCCATTAAAATCAACTAAATCTGCTGAGCGGAAAAGGGCATGGGAATGGGGCATACAGTTTTAACAAGCGTTGTAGAGATATTCAGGAGCCCTGATAGCATAGTGGGTTACTCATTGACTTGCTAACCACAAGGTCAGCAGTTCAAATCCATTAGCCACTCCTCAGAAAGATGAGGCTTTCCACTTTGGGAGAGATTGACAGCCTTGGAAACTCTACACAGGGTCACTATGAGTCAGAACCAACTTAACGGCAGGCAGCAGCAGCAGCAGTGCTATTTGGCTCTTTATGTATAATTTTGCAGTGACTAAATATTTGGAAGTAGTTCGTCACTCCTTCTTCACCCCCAGCAAGATGGATTGGTAAAATGGTGGCATCAATGGGCTCAAGTGTGGCAACAATTGTGAGGTTGGCCCAGGATCAGGCAGTGTTTCGTTCTTCTGTGTATAAGGTCGTTGTGATTTGGTACTGACTCAACGGCACCTAACAACAACAAAGTATAATTTTGATAACTTAAAAAAAATACACACACACACACACACACACACAAAAGAAAATAATATAAAAATTAAAAAAAGGAAATCGCTTTCTTTTCTCTCTCTCTTTTTTTTTCTCTTGTTTTAGCTTTTTTCCCCATATATTGGAAGGGAAATTATGTGTACTTATTTTCTCATTAGGAAAAACCATTGGGAAATTTCCCACAAATATATAAAAAACGGAAAGGAGACAGAGAAAAAAAAAATCAGTGGAAATGGATCGTGGTGATGGTTGTCCAACACGGGGCGTGTGGTTGGCGTGGCTGGATAGTACCTGTAAAAATGGTTGAAATGACAAATGTTTTATTGGATATATATTTCTAGAATTAAAAAATTAGAAAATAGAAAAAGAAAAAAAAATCAGTGTCTTGGATAATTACTGCTCTCATGGATTTCCCTGCATCCAGAAAGCCAGGCACACAGCAGGCATTTCTGAGACTTAAAAAGAAAATATTTAATCTATCAAAAAAGATTGATACTTGAACTAGCTACAGTGGTCACATGGCACCCACCAGAAGCAGTGTGGCTATATGCAAAGAGGTCATTAAGAGAAAAGCTACTGGGAGTTCAAGAATGGTCTCAAATAGCAATCCAGTCAACTGGCAAAAGATGGCTCATAAAGTCTATGTGCTGCCTCGTGCGGTGATTAGTGTCTGGGATCTTAAAAGCCTGCTAGAAATGATCTAAGATACAACTACTGGTCTCTATCCATCTTGAGCAAAAGAGAAAGTAGGAAATCTGAGAATCAGAGCAAGAACTGGACTATAGGATCAACAGTCTCCACGAAGCATGGCCTCTGCTGCCTTGAGACCAGAACTCAATGGTTGTCGGGGACCCGCCTCGACATTGGG